GGACAGCTGGATCCCATTTCAGTGCCCTCTTCTCCCTGCACCCACCCATCAAAGCTCCTCAGAGCACAAACCACAGGCAACTGGAAAGGCTGACAATGTGCTGGTTGTGGGATTCCCAGCCAGGGCCCTGGGCTGGCACAAAACAAGATACCCCGTCCAGCACAAACCTCTAGTGCCTGCCTCCAAGGAGCTTACAGTTTAGCAGAGATGAGCACAGTTAACTATCCTGCAGGTAGCCCAAAAAATGGTCACTCAACAAACTAACCCACAAGGCCCAGCAGGCCTCAGAGAGGCGATGGACGGGTCCCTCCATGACATGGAGACTTCCAAAGGTTACCTTCTGTTATAGGTTTATTTGATATTTGAAACGAGTCTACAAGTTCAGACCAAAAGTAACGGACTGCTTCATGGTCGTCAGAGGCTAGAGTGCATTATTTCTGAGGGTTACATCTGATGACACCACACAGAGAACACAAATGGATAGACAGACAGACATACTCATTAAGACGAGAGACGTGACAATGTGCCTTAGTGTCCAAGTGATTGCTCTAAGGCAGGGACCCTTCTAAGGCGGGGACCCGAGTGACTGATCTAAAGCAAGGTGGCTTCCCATCACCAGGCACTGACTGTGCTGTGTGTGTGCCAGGTGCCCTGGACAGAAGCTGGCTTGAAACAAAAAACTGGGGAGGTTGCCCTCCCAGCAGTGACCTCCCCACCCAACCCTTCCTCTAAGAGGCTGTTCTGAAGGACTGGGTGGTGACAGGGTTGATGTAAGCAGCTGAGGCTAGTGGTGGCACTGGGCAAACCATGATACATGAGGTGGGAAAACAGAGTCCAGGTGAAGTAGCTCCTCTTAGCTCCTTAACACTGTGTGTGGAGGGCAGGGTGGGTGCATCAGGGAAGGGGAAGATGGAGCACCATCACCTGGGGGTTAGCCAACCTGATTTTACTCCCTTGTTGGCAGTTCCAGAAACATTCTCTTTGGCCAACAGCCACGAAAATGAGTGTCTGCCAAGACACATGGAGAAGGAAGAAAACAAGACACCAAGAAAATTAAAAAAAAAAAAAAAAAGAAAAAACAAAACAAAAAACCCCTGCCCCAGGCAAGGAGAGGAACAAACAGAACTAGACCAAGGTCACACCAGATTCGGAACACATCCTGCGCCCCACACCCCAGGGAAAGGAAATAAAATTCAATGTCTTGCTTCTTTCCTCAAGGGAAACTGCCACCCCACCCTGAGACTCCAACTCACTGGCCTTTAATGTCCTTTTTTTTTTTTTCATTTTAATACCCAAACCATCCATTGTCAAAGCTTTAAAAAAAAACAAAATTTGTTTTACTTAAAAAAAAAAAAAAATTGAAATTGCCACAAAAACTAATGAGGCAGGCCCCAGGCCTGGCCTCTCCACCTGGTAGCCTGCTCTCCCGTGGGCTGAGCTGCCAGAGCCCAGCCTGGCACCAGTGGAGGGGACCGTCCCACAGCTGGTTCACCCAGGACCCCTCTGCTCAAATATGAGTGGGCACTAAATGCCAGCTGCATCACTAAATAAAAAGGGCAAAGCAGAGACACAGCCCACCCTTCCATAAGCACCCTCCATCTGAGCCAAACTTCCTTGGGAATGTGTAAGTTATCGGGACGGAGGAGGTGGGATGTAGAGAAAAATAAATACCAAGAGCTATGTAGGTGTCCCTGGACCTCTGGCGTCGGCTCAGCCACGGGGCAGAAATGGCCTCCAGTGAGGAGGTCCTGATTGTCCAAATACAGCACAATCCTTCGATCTCCCCCAACAGGCGCCTGCCCTGGAGGGGGTGGTGGGGGCGGGGAGGGGCATGAGTATCAGAGGGAGAAAAGGGGCCAGCCCCTCTGGTTCTGTCCACTCGCCCTGGCCCAGCTCACATCCTCCCCAGGCTCCTGCCCGGCCACGAGGCTGAGCTAGCCGTCCCTGGACTTCTGGGAAGAGGGAAGCCTGACCCTCCTGGGCCTGAGGACTCCTCGCTGGTCCCATGCCAGCTGCTCTGGACCAGCCCCGTGCTCCAGCTGCCTGCCAGCACTCAGGCCTGCTCCTTGTCGGCCCTCCAGAGCCGTTCCTTCACCTCGGGTGGCAACGTGTTGAACAGGTCCTCTTCCACCACCAGGCCACTGCGCTTGAGCAGTGGGCACTCGCCCAGCTCCACGGGCAGGCACTCCAGCCGGTTGCCTCGAAGTTCAATCTGGGTCAGGTTGGTCAGCTCGCCCACGCGCGAGGGCAGTGACTGCAGCACGTTGTTGCCCAGGTGCAGGGCCCGCAGCTTCCGGCACTGGAAGAGCTCTGGTGGCAGGGCCTCAATCTGGATGGGAAGGAGCAGAGGGTGAAAGTAAGGTGCATGTGGCTCATGTCAGGGGCCTCCGGGCCCAGGGCTTCCCTTCCCTCCCTCCACCAAGCACCAGCACCTTCTCTGACGCCCATTCCAGCTCCCCAGGACGTCTGGTACCAGCACCATCTGCCTATCTTCTACCTGCCCATTTGGTCTCAGCTCAGCATTCACTCCCTCCAGGAAGCCTTCCCTGACATTCTCCTGGGTAGCCTATGGTACCCATGATCCCTCCATGGTGAAACTGCCTGGTTATCTGTCTGTCACCCCCTGGGCTTTGGGCTCTAAGAGGGCAGGACTGGATCTGCCTGTTCCCTGAAGTCTCCCAGCACCTGGCACAGTTAGAAGCACAAAATACTAGCTAGCCACTACAAACTCCACCCCCACACCCCAGGGCTCACCACAAACCAGGCGAGAGTACTGGTTATAGCTGCTGAGATTTAAGAACAATTTAGGCAAGTAGAGCAGCACACGGAGAAAATTCCACATCCTAAACTGTTTCTGAGAGCTAGGGAGAGCTTACCAATAGGGACAAGAATCCCAGCTGTGTCACTTCCTCTCCCTGGGCCTCAGTTTCCTCATTTGCCACATCACAGGCTGATCACGAGTGCAGGGGGCCCAGTATTGGCCATTCAAAACCCCTATTCTGATTTTCCCAAGTTTCCTGGTGGCACAGTAGGTAAGTGCCTGCCTGCTAACTGAAAGGCCAGCGGTCAAACCCACCGGCCACTCCACAGGATAAGGATGTGGCAGTTTGCTTCCATTACAGCCTTGGAAACCCTATGGGGCAGTT